AAGCACAAACAGATCTATGGAGGTCCGACTGGAACGACACGCAACAAGGAGGGAGACAGCGTGCGAAGGTGGCTGGGTCGTCAATGGTGATGGAGCACAACACTTGCAGCGGTGAAGGCAGGAACGAGAAGAAGAAACTAAGAGAAGCGGAGAGAAAAAGAGAAAGGGAAAAGTTGGGAAAGTCAATCCCTCATGGTGAGTGATATCTCTCTACTACATTATTAAAATTATGAAAGGGAGTAAGGAAAGGCTGGCAAAGATTCCTCTCGTTAGACTCTGATACCATGTAAAATAACAAGAGACGAAAGGAACATTGAAATAAATCTATATATTGAATTGATTTAGAAGAGTACAATATATAAAAAAAATACTAATGGGCTTAGCCCATACCTAACCTAAATCCTAATAAAATAAGAAAATAGATCTTTACAAATAATAAAGATATTCTAAAGATATTCTTTCCAACAGACTTCATTCTTCCTTCCCAACAAATTGGCCCAAACATTCACCATCCCTTCTACCTTCATCAAACCCCATGGAAACAACCTAGAAGCTAGCATTTTTGGAGAGAAAGACACCATCTTGAGGCATTTTGGATTTTTGTTTGTGAGTTTAAAAGTGAGATCTTTCCATGGTTAAAAGCTTGTATCACCTCTTATTACATTGGTGAAGCTTCAAAGGTGAAAAAGAATGATCTTTCCTTTGTTCTTCACGGTAGATTGTATGATTTAGGTTAAAGGATGAGTCTTGAAGTTGTTTATGTGTTTAAAACGTGTTGGTATGCTGATTAAATGACTAAACAAGTTTGAGGGTTCATTAGAGGTCAAATATGCCTTAAAAACACTGATTTCTACATTATGTCGAAAAAGTATTCGAATACTTTTTCGAGTAATATTCAAATACTTTCTAGAAAAATGCAATAATCGATTACTCTGTGAGACAACAGCGACATAGTTTAGTAAAATTGCGATATCTCGAGTTACAGAGCTCCAAATTGAGTGAAGTTTAGACCTATACGAAGCTAACACATAGGGCTACAATCCTGTAAAATTTAGTAGCCATTGTATAAGTGAATTGGTCAAAATTTAAGTTTAAAGTCGCGGCTTGGTTTCTAAAAATTTAATTGGCAGCAGTCACTTTGCAAAAGATGTAACGAGAGTTATACAACTCCAATTGAAACTTATAATATGTCATTGAAAAGATTGATATGTATAGATTAAATAGTAAAATATTAGAAGTTTTAGTAAAGAGTTGCAATTCTAGTTTTCAAAATGGTAAAGAAGGTTTGAGGTTGTATTCGCATATATAGTTGGTTTCTTTCGATTGTTCTTCAAGGAAATGATTTATAGACTTTATAGTGCTTGTAAGTGATGTTTTAAGGTTGTGGGACCTTAGGGAATGAACTTAGATCCTCCTACCTTAAGTTAGTGTCCCTACATAAATAATGACTACGTAAAAGATAAAATTGAAATGAACGTCATAAACTATTATATTTGTTAATTCTCATTACATCTTTGAAATAGGTTGTGATTTTATGAAGGCCTGTGATTGTGGTCCTTTGGATATTGCAAGTACATTGAAGTATGTTACTGATAAAGGTAAACTTTCGGTTCTCAGGGTTAATACCTTGTTGGTTTCACCAAACTCTATGGGAGGTTGGTTAATATGCATGGTATATTTTTGAAAAATAATTTATACACTGATATGTTTGATATCTTTTGAGATAATTTATGGCATAATGTGTTGATATATATGCAGATATGATAGTGTGCCGTACATGCAGGCGACATCCTTGGGTGTAGGGGTATGATTGGGTTCCTCATATATTTTTAGTATGTTGCAGACATACGTAATGCATACATGAGTTGAATTACCTAAGTTATCATTGATAAGTGAAACTGTAAAGCAACCATTTCATGCGGTGTTAATAGTTTTATAGGGTCGACACTACATAGCTCTCCATCTACCTGTCCTATGGATCAAACTCGTGACTATTTGGTCTCAAGCCTATTAAATTATTAGATCAACGACACATGAGTGATTTTCTGATTTTATATTATTTGTTTATAACCGAAAGGATATTATACATTTACAAGGAGTCTTTCATTGGAAATGGACTAACGGGGAACGGTACAATTGATTATTGTCCCTGGGCCATTGGCTATATATAGTGCGTTTTCGTTTCTGCCGGTGAAGTGAAATTACTGATATTTTACTAATATTAATCCATGGACCCTCCGTCCGAGGATACTGATTGTGCAGGAAAGAGCAACACATCACGAACTGCCATCGTCATAGCAGTGCCGGTTGCTGCTGCTGTTGTTGTTTTGGTGCTCTGTTTCATCTGCATCTATTTAAGAGCGAGGAAGCCAAGGAAATATTTTGGAAGTAAGTCTGAAACTCTCTCTGAGCTTGGAATTACAGTCACTTATTATAAACACTAGTGCCACAATTTAAAGGGACGGGAGTGTACTATTAATCATAACTGAACTCTTTCTCACAAACCTTACAGGATTCCTTCTATTAAATAATGCAAGATACGTTATTCATTCATTTCGCAGAAAAAATAAATAAATATATATATATATAAAATGGTTCAAAGCATTTATTAGTCAAACACTCCTAGGAATTGTTAGAAATCCAAACTCAAATTTGATGAATAAGACAAAGGCGGCTAATCACTAAAGAAATTTGCCAAAGAACCAAAATGAAGTCTAGTTAGTGGATGAAAAAAGTAAACTGAATGTTATTGTGTTTTAAAAGATAGTGCTTTATTAGTGTTTTAAAAGATAGTGCCACAGTGCTAGTTTGAGTGGGCAGTGAACCATTTCTATAATTGTGGCGAAAGACTTTAGTTGTAAGTAATGCTCTTGTATCACATGCAATAACTCACTTGTTTAACCCCGTTCCCAACGTGAAGCTCAAGAAAAAGAAGATGATGATGATGATGATGATATTGAAATTACTGAGTCATTGCAATTCAACTTTAACACCATTCGAGAAGCTACAAATGACTTCTCTGAATCTAATAAACTCGGACAAGGCGGATTTGGGGCTGTCTACAGGGTAAGATAATACTTTTTAAATATCACTTCTTCATTAAAAATGTGGTATACTCAATTACTTGCTGAGAATTTACTATTCTTGACTGTGATACATTTTCAGGGTAGTCTCTCCAATGGACAAGAAATTGCAGTCAAAAGGTTGTCCAAGGATTCTGTTCAAGGAGATCTAGAATTCAAGAATGAAGTGCTTTTAGTGGCTAAGCTCCAACATCGAAATTTAGTAAGGCTACTTGGTTTCTGTCTGGAAGGAAAAGAAAGGCTACTTGTCTATGAATTTGTTCCTAATAAAAGCCTTGATAACTTCATATTTGGTACGTTTGAATGCCTTTTTAATTGGACTATACCTCTATTACTTCTATTGTGACTTAAGACTAAGCTTAATTACATAGTATTAATATTCAAATGGCTTGTGTGTATATGTAGATCAAACCAAGAGAGCACAAATAAATTGGGAGAGCCGTTACAAAATCATTGCTGGTATTGCTCGAGGCATTCTTTACCTTCATGAGGATTCTCGGCTGCGCATTATCCATCGTGATCTCAAAGCAAGTAACATTCTCTTAGATGGAGAGATGAGTCCCAAGATATCCGATTTTGGCATGGCAAGACTGTTTATTGTGGACCAAACTCATGGGGATACAAATAGAATTGTTGGAACCTAGTAAGTATTCGAATGTACCAGAGCTTATTAATTGTTATTATTATCATTGGGCTTAGACACTAAAAACTGGAGATGGTTGTGAAAAGATTTTGCTTAATCAAGCTTGTCAATGTTGTTATGTAGTGGATATATGGCACCTGAGTATGCAATGCATGGATAGTTTTCAGTGAAGTCAGATGTCTTTAGTTTTGGTGTACTGGTTCTTGAGATTGTAAGTGGCCAGAAAAATTGCAGCATTGGTCAAGGGGAGAATATAGAGCATCTACTGAGCCTTGTAAGTCATCATTTTCTTCCCATTATATATTCCTTGAAGTTAGAAGAAAGCAAGGAATTAGAAGATTATGTGTTAGCCTATGTTAGTGCAGAAGTGGAATCTAACTTATATTGAGAAAATTCTTGCAGATGTGGAGAAATTGGAGGGACTGATCAGCCACAAATATTATAGATCCCATGTTAAACAATGATTCACGAAATGAAATAATGAGAAGCATCCACATTGGGTTACTTTGTGTTCAAGAAAATGTAGCTAGCAGACCAACCATGGCTTCCGTTGTACTGATGCTTAATAGCTATTCCGTCACTCTGGCGCTACCTTCAGAACCTGCATTTTATGTGGAGTATAATTCAGGGGCAACAAGACCAAGCGAATCCACCACTAAATCAGCTCAGGCATCGGTCGACGAGGCTCCAATTACTGAGCTACATTCTCGCTAGTTTTCTTTTATTGTAGTGATGATATTCATAAACAAAGTGGATTTAGAGTAAACAAATTCAATTCTTCAACCAAAATACAAAGTCTTGGAACACGTGTAAGTTCTTGTTTGCATGGACCATATATCCTTTTGTTTAAGTGAGACAAGAAACGTGTAATGCGACCTTCAGTTTATGAAATGCAGACAAGGGCTATTCTGCTAGTAGCACAGCTAGGCCTACAATAATTCTCAGGGGAAATCTATAGCTTGAAGGACAAGTACAGTTGATCTTCCTCAATCGTCTGCACCTCCATTTTCTGTAGGCATATATTTTGAATCTGAAAAAGTTTCAACTGCTGGACAAGATATAGAATCTCCGCCATCTTCCTCAAGTGCTTCCTCAAACGGGGACTATAACACTGAGATAATCTACTTTTAATACTAAATTTCCTATTTGCTTCGTTAGTTGTTATGATTTGTCACAGCTTGTGGTAATAAAATAGTGCTTTGTTCCTTGCGTATTTTAGCTTCTTTCACGTTGGCCAAGTAGAGAGAAAACTAGCAAGTGACAGTAACTTACAGAATGCACGTATGCAATAATTTAAAAATACATTAGACTTCTTATCGAGGACATATAGAACTCTGACATAGTCCAAAAGTAAAAGTGAATTCCAAATTTCCAACCCCCGATACGAAAGTGTATTGTGATTCTACTAGCAATAATCTCAGTAAATTGTTTCTACTAACAATTTAATACAACTCAAGCATCTAACTCCGAGTCCCATCCCATACACTGGACTCATGATAGTTCAACTATTCTCGGACGTTTTTTCGAATGATGATTTCCCCTTTGTTTTTCATGAATTTTTTCTTTACCAGAAATAGATTTTTGAACAGGAGAAAAAGGCTTTTCAACATCATTTCCATCATCATCACTGCTTTCAATTTCATCATCCCCATTGTCATCATCAGCACTACTTTCATCTGAATCGGTTTCACTACCATCTGCAGCCAATGAAATCACAGGCTGACATCTGGAAATAGCAGATTCAGCAGCAGCCACAGCCTCAGGTGTATGAAGATCAGCAACACCAAGCATCAAATCCTGCAAGATAATGAAACCAAAAATAAATAATTTAATCCACTATTTACGAGTCCGTACAGTAAACATATACTGGTAGGTAGAGGGGTTTTTGATATGCAAAGAGAGATATAAGACAGACTGACCATTTCAATAACTTCGGATTCATTTCCAGTTAGCTCTTCAATATCATAATTCTCACGACGGTCCTACATTTAAAAAAAAAAACTAAAGCCATAAGAATATAAAAAAAAAAAAAAAAAAAAAAAAAAACTATAAAGGGAGAAAATGGTTGCAAGCAATAAATATTCAGCAATCAAGTTTTAACCTTTGCATCAAGTTCCAGCCGCTTATTTGCTTCTGACATCACTCCTAGGAAGTCTTTAACCTTCCCTAAAACTGCATAAATAAACTAAATTTTATAACTTCATCTTCAAAGAGTTTTGCTATATTCAAACAACTAATTCAATGCTTATGACCAGAATATAACCAGGTTGTGTAAGATATAGCCATTTCAACAGAGAAATCTCAGGGAAAAAGGCAACATATCTCCTGTCTGTCCTGTTATATTCAAGTTTAGTTTTTCTTCAAACCATAAGTTTAGCAGCTATTGATTTAATAAAGGGATCGACCACATACAAAAATGCACATGAAAAGGCAGAGAAAACCCAACCAAGATCATCATGCACAGACAAATAAAAGAGACAGTCAAGTATTTGAGTTTATATTGGATCGCCAATATGATATAAGATCTTGAACTTTGATTTCCCTGCTTAAACTATTTCACTTGTAAGAATAGCAGCTAAAAAGCCAGTCTGTTTGGCAAGCAAGACCAGGTGAGCACCAGTGTCATGTGAATCAAACCAAAAGTAAGTTGAAGACCACGTAAAACTAAAAGAGACCCTTTCTAGGGACTCCTATAGAAGAGGAGAACTGGTTCAGACTGAGAATTCAAGGGAAAAGGTGGTTAATAACAATAAAGTAATATAGTATAAATATAAGTCCATCACACTAAAGCGTAATTGGGTGATAAGTTGCATGGATACAAATCAAATTACAATTCAAATCAAGAATCAAAAATCGTATCGAATCGTTAGATTCAAATATACAATGAAAAATAGCTTGAAATATATCATATAAATAAAGTATAATGCTCAATGTAATAATTTTAAATTAGGAAGTGACAAAATAACTTAACCATAAGTCTCACAAAACAAAATCGTAAGTCATAAGTCATAACTGAGTCAATATAATTACTCCATGAAGCCTATGTTTCAGAAGAATGAAAATAGAGCAAAGGAATAGCCAAATAAGATGCATAAAGTAAGTTAATGACTCTAGGGAGCCCCTTTTTCAACAGAATGAAAACAGAACAATGGAATAGCCAAATAGGGTTCACTCAGTAGCACTCTTTTAGTTCCTTTTCAATTAACAATTTAAGCTTATTTGAATTTTCGAACTCTTCTATGGGAATTGAAAAAAGAAAAGCAAAAGGGAAAGAAAAAATTAACAAATCGCTGAATCATGATTCCTATTTGTGATACGGAATTGCATCAATTCATGCATGTATAGAATGATTTGAACCCATCTCCGATTTATCACATGATATGAATCGAAAGAGTGTCTTTAATCATGCAATTCTAACAACAATGATAGTGTGTTTTAGTAAAAGCTAAACAACTTACCAACAAAAGTTGATGAGTGAGTATTAGGTGCAAACCCAAGTGTACCAAATAAGTGGTGTTACGGGTACGACAATTATTTAGGAGTACCCATGAATCATAGGTGCCATGTATATCCTAAGCATCATTATGAACACTTGTAAAGGCATACCATAGCCCAGTAATGAGATTTGAATCATAAAGGTGAGACTTTACATATGAAGCAAACCAGAGTAGTCACAACTAGAAAAAAACATGTGCCAATTTATTGGCAGTATCAGTTAATTCCCTCGTATACTAAGGAAACATTGTAATTCTAAAACACTCCGCCCAAAAATAATAATAATAATGATAGTTAAGCATCAGAATTAAACATGAATAAACAAATACAACAATAATAACGACCAAGAATTTTAGAAAAATTAGAAGAAGAAAAAATAGAACTTGATTATTAACACAAGTCCCACTTCTCCAATTAAGAAAACCCAGCGTCAGTAAAGTACAAAAAAAAAGGTATAAAAAAAAATAAGAACTTGAGATGAATTTGAAACAGTACGTTGGCTTGGAGGAACTGGGTCAGTCAAGGGCGTGTCATCAGACGGGAGTCTCTTAGTTTGAGTGCTTGATTCTCTTTTATTATCACAAACAAGAAGAGCAGATTCTGCACACACACAAAAGCAACTTTATCATTAGAGAGCCCATAAAAAAAGAGAGAGGATAGATAACAAATTTTCATTGAATAAAGATAGAGAGACCTAAGGCCGAAAAGGGCATGCCCTTGTGCTCCAACTGAAGAAGCTCTTTGCTTCTCTCTGCCATCTAACTCAACAGCTCTGCTTCTCCGAACCTCGGACCGTTACGAAGAGGGTTTAAGGAAAGTGAATGGAAACGTTGTCCAGGAACTAGGGGCGAATAGGTTTAAGGGGAAAATAGATTATGAAAACACAAATAAAAAATAGAAAATTGGGCTTATCCTTCTTGGGACTTTGTTGTGGGCTCGTATGGCCTAATGTTATTCTTATTTAAATTATTTGACTGGGTTTGGGCTTGGGCTTGGGCTTGAGTCGTTTGTAGGTAGATGAGATATTGAAAAGAGAAAACTAGTAATATATAAAAATAAAAAAGAGAGAGAGAAAACTAGTAAAATGAACGTTAGTAATAATTTTTTTTTTATATATATTTTGTATTATTGGATAAAATTTTATGTTGATATTATTAAATAAATTGGATCCAAAATTTATTTGGAGAATTCAATCAAAAAATAAAATATATGTTATTAAATTTTTATAAAACAAATAACAGCCTAATAAAGAAATAATCTTCACTGTTCCCCCGCACTCCGGATTAGTCCCATAGCCGGCTCAAAGATTCGAAGCTCGTGGGGATACCGGAGGGAGCCAACTCGTCTCAAAGAGATAATTAGGGTTAGGTAACTCCAAAAAAAATAATAATAATAATCTTATTAAATAAGATATCAATCTTATCATATCACCAGCTATCAGACATGGAGCCCCAAATATTTTCAAAATATTTATAATTCTATTTTTATGGATAATTCATTTATAAATAAAGTGTTAAGTCAATCAGGTAGACACATAAGTGACACGGCCACCAAAATGAGTGTGTGTGCATAGTAACAATTAAGAAAAAGTATATAATATATATATATATATATATATATATAAATAATTTATCTATAAATAAAAGGGAAAAATGTGTATCATTTTAAAGGATGTAAAGTTGTGTCATTTTAAGTGAGAGAAAAAGATAGATAAAGGAGGAGAGAGTGGACAAAAAAATATAAAGGTGTATGTCCTACCTCTTTGTGAGAATGAAAGAATATAAGTTATGTTATTTAAAAAGACAAACATTTTCCCCTAAATAAAATGTTAATCAATTAGATGCACACGTTATACTTTTTCTTAACTGTTGTTGTGCAGCCATTCATGATAATGCATAGTGTGATATGCAAATCTCTACGAAATCTCTTTAATAGATTTTTGAAAGCATATTAATCCAATATAAACTCGCCAATTGATTGGACACCCTCAATTTGTTAGGATCCAGCTAGGGGTGTAATTAGGCCAGGGCAGGTCAGACTTTGCTCTTTATGGCCTAAGCCTACACAAAAAAATGTTTAGCCTATCTGACCTATGAGTTTACCAAAGATTTAGTTTAAATGTCATATCTGCCCCTGTTATTTAAAAATAAAAAGCCTACATGGCTTATGAGGCCTTTTAAGCCTATCATATTGCAAGTTAAATAAATAAATAAAAATAAAATATCTCATTCATTAAACAATATTTCAAGAAACTAAAGTGAGACTCGTGAGAGCGTCTCATGTAGAAGCGGCGCATACCAAAAGAAAAGAAATTAGGTTTAATAATTTTTAGAATATAAATAATATTATATGATAAATATTTTTCTTTATTTAAAAACTTAAAGAGCCTATAGGCCAAAAGGCCAGGCCTTTTATATTTAGCCAATGACTTTATTTTTACACAGGGTTACCTACAAGCCTTTACATGTTCTAATTACCTCAAAGGCCGGGTCGGGTCAGGCTTTACATAGGCCAGATCGTAAGTCCCTGTAGACCGGTCTGACCCATTTACACTCTAAATCCAGCGCATTAAATATAGGAGAACAAACTTTATATATCTGGCTGTCAAATCATTGTCTCAAAAATAAAATAACAAGAGGAGCTCCCAACATTGATGGAAACAGCCACAGAAGATCTGGGCAAACACCAATAATTAAAAATATATTATAATTCATTAAGAACATTATTTAGAGAATTTTTTTTCCTTTTTAGAAATGTATTCATATTGACATACCTTATTACATAATTGGTATCATATTGCCCAAATAATTTATTTAAATAATTGTAATTATAATGCTTGAAAATTTTATTAAAACATTATAATTGTACAAGCTAAAGAAGAGTAAATACTTTTTTTAGTCCTCAGCAAATTTCACGATGCTCGTTTTAATCCCTAGCAAATAAATAGGCTCATCGTGGTCCCTAAGAAATTCAAAATAGACCAATTTAGTTGAAATCGTGGTCTCTCACAAATTCAAAAAAGACTCATATTAGTCCCTAAAAGGACTAAAATGAGTCCATTTTGAATTTCTTAGGGACCACAATGAGCTTTTTATTTGCTAAGGATTAAAGCGAGGATCGTAAAATTTGCTGAGGACTAAAAATGATATTTACTCGGCTAAAGAATAAAGGTACTAGCCATGTCAAAGCTAGCTTGTGATTTATTAACATTAAACTCACGAATAATTGTGACAGCGTATTTGAAAATAGGGAAAAGTTCATCAATGCTCCTGCGATTTGCTTCAGAATCACCTATGCTCTTGTGATTTTTTTTATCACATATGCCCTTGTGCTTTGTATAAAATAAAAGATCACAGGGGCATATGTGATAAAAAAACATACCCTTTTGCAAACCGCAGGGACATATGTGATAAAAACATACCCTTTTGCAAACAACAAGGACATATGTAATAGAAAAAAAAAAACACAAGGACATAGACATAGATGATTCTGAAGTAAATCACAGAGGCATCGGTGAATTTTTCGCTTGAAAATAAAACCAAAAGGAAAAGTAAGAGAAAGCGAAGTAATCATCCTCTGTTTTTGTCAATACTTTGGAAGAGAACATTCCCTTGGAAGATTGTTTTGGAACCTCTCATTGTCTTGGCAGTAGTCATATATGGTGTGGTATTTCCTAACCCATTTGAACCACTTTCTTTGTGTAGATGTAAGTGAGTTAAAGCTGTATTGGTTCCACCAATTGGTAGGGTTAGATGCTCTACAAAACCTCGGGTTCCCTTTCCACACACAAGCATCAATCTTGTAATTTCTAAATGAAGCTATGAAGGGTCCCTTTGTCCAATCAATCTTATCTTGGCCACCTCTTGTTGCCCACGTATCACCATTCCACAATGTCACTTTCAGACTCATTGGCTGCCATCTAGGAAATGGTACTCCTTTGTCCGCGTGGTTTCTGTACACTCTTATAGGAATCATGTCCACCATAAACCTGCAAAAGGCAAAATTAACTTTGCATCAACTATCATTTTGGAGACACAGTACTAAATAAACTTAAATGGACAGAAACTTAAGCACATGAAACTTTTCAATTATGTTTAATTATTTGAAGCTATGCTTCCTCTACTCATTAACCAAGTACAAAGGATTGAAGAGCAATACAGTCCAGGCTATAAAGAGGTTTTGTTGATTGTAAGAAATGGCTTACACAATCTGGTGCAGATTCCACAACACAGAATAAGTATGGAAGTCCTTTGTTGGATCAAACCACAGATAAATCCTCTCCTCTCTATTGTCAAACCCATCTGCAAAAATATTTGTTTGCAAAATATATGGCTGGCCAGAGACATTACCTAGAAACTCAAAGTCTATCTCATCTCGATTGGGTTGATCAGAGGTCAACTGTAATATATTACCAAACTGATTTGTGTCTATATTTTGATAATTCAAAACAAACAGAATAAAAGAAGAGTAAAGGGTTGCTTACATAATAGGCCAGGACTGTGCCTGCAGAATGACCTGGTACTAGTTTGATTTGCATGTCAATTTTCCCAAATAAAAACATCTGGTTCGAAGCAAAACCAGCTCCTACAATGATCCAAACTCAGTAATTAAGAAAGGAGTCTTTAGCATTGATATTGTAGCTAGTTAAGCTATACTTATTACCAGATTCTTGATCCAGTTTCAAGCTTCTTGTCTGTTCATCAGCCGATGTGTTTACATGGGTAGGAGACCATATCACAAAGAAGTCCTTATTGAAGTCTCCTGTTGAAACGACAGATGCAGTTGAAATTTGAAAAAAAATTGAGGAAACAAACCCAACAAAGAAGATAAGTGCTTTGTGGAAGTTGCTCATGATTCCTGTGAAAGAATATGTCTGAAGGTTGTAATTGATATTGAAGAAGCTATATATATATATATATAGGCATTGCATGGAAGGGTGACAAGTATGCGAATAGGGACAATGTCTGCTTTGTTAGATTAAGAATGTCTTTAGAAGGAAGCAGAGGATTTTTCAGATGTCAGAATCTTCATAGTTGAGAGTACGTGTGTTTGTTAAGAGTTCACATTGCAACATAAATAAATGTTAACGTACTCAAAAAGTGATGTGAATCGCCACATTAACCTGCTTAATTTTTTATCGGCGAGCCAAATTGAATGATGAATTCAAGAATATTGCCATCCGTGAGTCCTGATCTCCAACCCAACTTGTCACAGGGAAACTCATTTTAATCAGATTGATCAGAATAAGGGTCTCAAAATATATACCATTCTTTGGACACACACTAGTGCATTCTCAAGAAAAGCTTTTTTCCTCTCTTATCAAAAGAAAGTTTGCAAGAATGAGAAGCTGACTACATTCTTGCTTTCTTGCTTCCAGAGATTTTCTCTTAGGATAACTTGGTTTTAAAGCTTCCATTTTTCTAAGGATTTCCAAAGATTTATTCCTTCCCTCCTTTGTAGGGACGTCATTGATTTAGTTACAGAGCATAATTATATTTCTACAATTTTTTTTTATAAACTCTTATAAACAAAAAAATTTATAAATATAATATATGTATGGGAAAAGTGTGTATCATTTTAAAGGATGTAAAGTTGTGTCATTTTAAGAGATAGATAAAGGAAGAGAAAGAGTTGACAAAAAAAATAATGGTATGGGTCCCACCACTTTGTAAGAGTGAAATGATATAAGTTATGTCATTTAAAAGGATAAACAGTTTTCCCTATATGTATAAAGAATACATAATATAATTTGTAAACAAAAAAGTTTATAAATATAACATATATTTTAGTTATATTTAAAATTATAGTTTAGTGCGTTATTTTGCCCACGAAAGAGTATTCACAAACTTACCAAAAATAAAAGTAAAGAGTATTCACAAAGAATGAAATGGAAATCTAAGGTAACTTTTGACATGCTGTGGATTAGATGTAAAATCAAAAAACGAGTTGCACTTGATATCAATAAACGGACAAGCATCGTCATTTGATTGGGCCGTTGCTCCTTTATGACACTAAAATGCCGTCGAACAAATTTAAGTGGTTTTATTTTTCACAAGGTAGATTTAAAAAAATAAAATACAGGCAAATATTACCAGGAGAAGACAAGAGTTTATGCCTATTAATAAGTTGGTGTTAGTTTTGGAGTCAAGGTTGACGGACATCGAAAATTGATTTACTCTATTAGTTATAATAATGAAAAATGGATTGATATTATTATTGTTAATATTAAAAAAAACTGATTATTGTATATTAGAGTAATGCATGTAATATTTTCTTAATTTGTGCCAATTTATAATGATGGAAAATTGTTGAAAAAGAGAAATCAAGTTGAGTGAGTGAGTCATTTGAAAGAGAAAACTATAGAAAAATCTAATTACATAAAAAACAATAAAAGGGGGTACATGAATCCTTGGGTTAAAAAAAATAGTATTATATTATTTGTACTTTTAATATCTCCCACAAACATAATCCGGTATTAGGTGAATAACATTAAATTTTATTTATACAATAATTTTATTCCAATATTATTATTAAAGTTCTCGTAATATTCAAATATCTCTAAAATTCTTTGAATTTATTTTCCTTTTTGTTGACTTAGAACAGCCATGTATATTTTTAGGGATAAGATATTTTTATTTATTTATTTTCATGTCTCTCTTCTCTATTTATTTTTAATACCAATAGATTAGAATCTGAATTAGTTTTTACTATTTCTCTTTTTTTAAGATTTTGATCCAATAATATTAAAGATAAGTAAATAAAATAAATATGAAAAAAAGACAAAAATAATATATGATGTACCATATTTCAATTCTTGCACAAAATGATAGTACTGGTTGCTTATTGACACTTTGCTTTGGGAAGCAAAATTCTATTATATTGTGAGTGGGGTAAAAGATCTTAGGGAGCATCGATCACTTCCTTAAAGATTGACCGAGTCAGTCGGTTATGGTCTGAAAATAATTTCCAGAATTCGAAGGAAATTTCACAAAAAAATTAAATTAATCAAGAATATTATTGTTTAAAATAAAAATTATGCTACTTCTACACCGGGTTTCAATTCCTACATGAAAAAAATTACCCACCAAAATAATTTATGGGCTTGGTGTTTGTCATTTTAAATGACATAAGTTATACCATTTTAGGAGAGAAATAGACACAGAAAAATGAAAATCATGAGAGAGAAAAAATGAGTGATTTTTTTAATTTAAATTTAAAATAAAAAAAATTAATCTGTATCTACTCTCTTAAAATGACGTAACTTTATGTCATTTAAAATCACAAACAACTTTTCCATAATTTAAATTGTAAACAAGTTTAATCATAAAGTTTAGATTTTTTTGATTTTTTTTTTTGAATACATAAGTTTATATTCCTTTTCTATATAAGAATAAAAAACCTGAAAATTTCTTAATGCTAAACATCTGCATAATTTTATAAAACATTTCCTAATCTGTCTTGATTCCTTCATAACAGGAAAAGAGAGAATTTCTTCTTAATCTGTCTTGATTCTTACCTAATAGGAAAAGAGAGAATTTCTATACTTTTAAAGATGGGATTACTATTTCTGCTACTCACATATCAAATTTAAAGATAGATTAATTAATTTATTTTTATTTTCACCAAATTTGGTGATATTCACCTTAGTATAAATAAAAAAATTATTCGTGGTTCTTAAAAAATTCAAAATAAATTTATTTAGTTAAATTGTGATTTCTTATAAATTTCAAAAATACTTATATTAGTCATTCAAAAAAGACTAAAATAAATCTACTTTAAATTTCTCAGAGATTATGAATAATCTTTTTACTTATTAAGAATTAAAACGGGCATCGTAAAATTTAGTCGGTACAGAAAAGAATATTTAATCTTAAAAATAAAATTCATCTCCGAGAAACATTGTTCCAAAGCAAAAGTCAAGAAAAGGACAACACTTTCTATCCTGACCCTGGCGTCTGGGGTAAATGTACGGTTGATACTCCAAATCTGGTCAAGTTCCACGCAGCTTCCTTGTTTTAGATCGCATTTCTTGTTCACCATTGTTCCTGTCTACCAGACTACCACTCCAAATGAAAACTCTTTGACACCTGTCTACCACTCTAAATGTCACTATTTTTGTCTTGGCCTCACTTTCTCTACTTCTCACTTGTTGTCAGTGCTTCCTTCTTCTCTTAATCTGCTCATTCAGGTAGTTTATTATTCTCTCTCCAACTCTTTGCTTTCTTTCCTCTTCATTTTTAGAACAAGGGTATGCTTAATCTCCATTCAAAATTCAATCTTTCTTCTTAATTTGAAATAGCTATGCTTGCAAGACCATATATCTGTTTGCATCTTTCTTTCTTGTTTCAGAATGGTTATGACCCTTCAAACATGCTCTTGATGAAGATTAGGGTTTTAGTGGGAAGGACAAAATATGGGCTTGTGCTTCTTCTTTTCTGATTGATCTGTGATAAACCTTTTTTTTTATGAATTTTCGGTTGATGGTTGAATGACAAAAGGAACTTTTTTTTTTTTTTTTCAGTTTGGTTTTGCTTCTTGGGGAGGAGGGGGGGAGGCGGGTTCTAGGTATTGCTTGTGGTTTCTTCTGTGTCTTTGTTCCTTTGTGTGATTTTTTTGGTGAAACCCCATAGTGACTGGTTTCCTCTCGTCTTGCCAATTATATAGATTTTCGTGGTGAAACTGTTCAACTCCATACCAAAATGAAATATTATATTGTTTCCACTTTCCAAAATAAACTATTATACGGTTTTCCTGAGTTGATTTTCCTAGTTGCCATGGAAGTTGAGAATGAAAGTCGAAAACCTATTAATTGTTGTTTAACATGGTTTTGTTGAAATTGGAAAAGCCCTGAAAAAACGTACCTTAATTGAAATGATATCCACATTTGTAGAAATTTGAAATGGAGAATAAATCCTTTTTGCCCCTTTTATATTGTTTTTGTTTTTCATTTCTTTATTGGGTTTGATGAGGGCACAGGTGGGTGTTTTCTTGATACAGACATTAAGGATATTTTAAGTTTATTATGTGTATTTCCCTTTTAATGATATCTTTAGATTGATTATCATAGCTTCGTCAGATCCTTAGTGATGCATTTCCAATCCAAAGCAGGTGGCCAGCCCTTGCTATTTGGAGAAGACAAGTCAGGGTTTTTTTTAATTAAGTTAAAGCATGATAAAACGATTTCCAAGTAGGAACTATAGGTCCAAAGGCATCAAGGTAAAACATATTCTGCAAATTATTCTGTTGCTCGGTGTTTGCTTCTGGTTGATCTACCAGGTTAAGCACAATCATGATAAGAAGAAAGAATTTGTCGAGAACGATGCAAAACTGTCCGTCAGAACACAGACTGATCAGATTCTTCAACTTGGTAGAAAGGGCCTTCATCCAGTTAGAGATGAAGTAAATCAGAATAAAAAGCATGGGGAAGAAGAGGAAGATGAACATATTGTAGAGAATGAAGAAAATAAACATGAACATGATGACCAAGAAGAAGGAAACAAGCATGAAACTGAAGAAAGTGAAGACAACAAGCATGGAGGGAGAGAACAAGGGGAAGAAGAAAATAATCATGGAGCAGAAGAACAGGAGGAAGATGAAAATCAAAGTGAAGATATGGAAGATCAAGGAAGAGGAGGAGATGGTGATATAGATGAAAATGATGAAGAGAAATCAGAGGTAGATATTGATCGTGGTGATGAGTTCATAGATGAAGAGAAAGAGAAAGAAGAAGAGGGTGATGACAAGGAGAACGAAAAAAGGGAGGATGAGGAAAAAGGGGGTTTAGCTGAAAATCACAACAACAATCATGAGGCTCGGGAGGAGAATTACAAGGGGGATGATGCTTCTAGTGCTGTGGCTCATGACACTCATGCAACTAGCACTGAAACTGAGACATTTCGTTTGGAAAACTCTGATGCAAACTTAGAAATGAATATCACAAAATCAGAAAACGAAACAACTTATTCAGATGAAAGTAACAGGAATCAAAATGATTCAGACGTTAAGGTTACAGAAGGTGAAGTGATGGGCGAGATTTCTTCAAATGCAACTGCTGGTAAAGAGACTGGAAATAACAGTTTGTTCAACCTTGTTGATAGCTCATATCTAAATAAAACAGCCACAACCAGTAACCTGACAGTAGCGATTACTGAAGCAGCCGGTGCCAACACTTCAACCTCATCTGAACAGAACAAAACGGTGATATTATCTGAATCTGACCATGCTCAAAATACCACAATGAACACAACGATCACTGGAGATGTAAAAAATGTGCAAAAAGAGGGATTAGAGCAGAGTAGCAATAGAATTTCTGAAGAAAACCTCCCTGACACTAATTCAACTGTCTCTGCTAAAACTGAAAATGGTGATGCAGCTGCAGGAGAAACTTCTTATCCCGTGGCTGGTGAATTAGAGAAGACAATTAGATTTGTAGCTTCAAATGAAACTGAGAACACTTCTAAAAATTTGGATGGAAATGAGAGCTCTTATACCTCTGAAAGTGACAAGTCCGAAGGTAACACTGAAACGAGCGAGGCCATTGAGTCAGTTGAACATGATGCCATTGATTCTTCTGATACTCATATCCACGAGGATGTGACCGAGGTTCGAACTGATCTCGATACATTGCCAGATATTAGAAATGAAGGAGATAATGATGATGAGACTGCAGCAGAGTAATTTTGAAAGTTCATAGTTGGGGTTATCGAAAAGAGCTTTTTCAGTAAGTACATGGCAGATCCACATAGTTGTTAGAACCGGTTTGCTTGACTCAAAAATGTGTCAAGACAAGATCATCAGTGCTACAAAAATAGTTTAGGGAATATTAATATGATTATATCAAGTTCTGGATATGTATGATTTATTTCTACGTTCCACTATCTACTGCTATTGTTTCCCCTATTTTTGTTTGAACATCTTGTTCTTTCCTAGTCTTCATATACTAGAGTGGAGTTGATATGTAAAAGGAGTGTTTAATTAGGTAAAATATTTTTAATTGATTGAAAATTATAAATGTGTTGTGGGTAATAATGAGAAGTAACAAGCAGTGTTTTAAAATCCCGCCCCACCCCACCCCACCCCGGGGTCGATCCCTCCGAGTCACTGACCCCTCCTCTCTGAGGGTTCGGGTTAGTAGTTAGATTCTATTTGCACGTTGATCCCACTAACCTCCCAAACCTCAAGTTGAACCCTTGACTCCCGGGTCAGAGGGGTCATTGCATTTTAAAAAAAAAAAATTATATATACAAAATGATGTTACTTGATGTGTAAAATAAAAAAAACAAAAAAAACTCTTTGTTGTCTAGATTTAGAACTAGATCTGAAATCTGAATCCTTTTTCTTCTTCTCTTCCGATCTTCTCTCCCTGACTCAGACTCAGTCGTCCTGTTCCAATTATTTCCTTCACCGTGCTGGTTCTTCTTTCCTCACTGTTAATTTGTCATGTCGTTGCTTTTTCTCCGCTATTATCTATTGGGTAAGGGATCTCTTTTCACATACTATTGTATGTGCATGAGAAGAACAAGAAGGACTTGAGTTTGATGATATAGCTTTTCATTAACTCCATTGGAATATGTGTTTTATAATTTGATAATTTGATTAGCTTGTGAATATTGATTTGTAGTTGTAATTGGTTGAATTATGTTAAGTATATTTTGAATCTATAATAATTGATGGTTTGATTTTTTTTGAATTTTTCATATAGAATATATATTTATATTTTTTTTAATGTATAAAACCGGGTCAGCGAAGTGATCCCGTGACCTCCCAGTTAAATCCGTGACCCCCCGGTTGAACCCGTGACTCCTGACCTCGGCCGGGTCAATGGTCGGGCCGATTTTTAAACACTGGTAACAAGTACGATGATGTATAGAGGAAAATGCAAATATGACATCTAAAAGATTTCATTTAATTTGTAAAGAACCAATTCAACCCAAAAGCTTAAGCTGTTGGGTGAAGCTACATTAATGATTTTATATATCTCAACACGCCCCCTCACACGAGAGCCCACTGGGCTCGAAGGGTGGACAATGCACAGACCCACCTACTTGTGCGAAGAAAGAAATTTCACTAGAAATAAAGTGAGGGGCGGCGAGATTCGAACCCGGGGCACGAGGCTTTGATACCATGTAAAGAACTAATTCAACCCAAAAGCTTAAGCTGTCGGGTGAGGCTACATTAATGATTTTATAAATCTCAACATAATTAATTAATTTTCGAATTTTTTGGAATCTTGAGTGTTTTGATCACGCACACGCACGCCTATTATTGTTTTGTAGTGCACGTGTGGGTATGTGTATCAGTGTATGTTTGTGCATGGCAACTGTAGTTTTGGAAAGTGATTAATGTTTTTTATATTGTGAGAGATAATTTTATCTCATATATATACATAAAAGTGTTTGGGGTAATATAAAAAGAAAATAGACTTTACATAATTTTATGTATTTGTAAGAGATGAAATTATCTCCTAAAAACAATCCCTTCAAGAATTTAGCTGGAGGGGCAATAGGCCGTATGAAGAAACAAGATTTGGTTTGGGTTTACACTTCATTTTGTAAATGCGCCTTTTGTCTTTGATAAGTACAAGCATAAGGCATAACGGATGAGTAAATTTATGGGCTGAGTGGGGTATCAATTGAAAGAATTTGATAAAACTTCTGGCGTTGCATGGTTTGTAACAGCATATCTTGTAAGGCCGTGATATTTTATCTGTTGTTGAATTAAAATTTTCGGTAAAATCATATTATTCTCATTTCAAAGTCAAATTATAATAATGCAAAAATAAAAAAAAAACGTGTGTCTAATGCTGTATACGAATGCAAACAGAAAGAACACCAACAAAACCGTTAAATGAAACGTTTGAAAAAAAATTAAATCTTTTAACCAAAATCCTAACATTCTATTGCATTGGATGCTTCATCACCTGTTCACCTGCCCTTTCAGCCAGGTTCCACCTTAACACAAACATGGACCTACTAAATTCCTCTAACTGATCGTTATTCATGTCATCAATCGGCTCGTTCCACCTACGGATGTGCAGAAATTCTAAAAGAACTGATCTGGTTTGAGAACTGCACCAACCCACGCCAAATAAACTATTTTTTTTTAAAGCAGTTCTTGAACTAGGACTAGTTTTTATTCTTACAAGCAGTTCAATTATAAATTCGTTGGGGCAAAAAATTTAATTAATTGTAATTTAAATACAAAATTATGAATTTATTGCTATTTTGAAATTATTTACGTATATATTACAGTGTGTCACGCTCAGATTGGACGTCACCAGTCACATCTAAGTTAGGCGTCAACCACGAGGCACTCACGCCTAATTTAGGCGTGACTCATCTGGTGTTGACACGTATCACAAAAAGTTAACAATTTAACGTAAAACTTCGAAAGATCACAACTTTGGACTCGGGTATCCAAATCAGGTAATTTTTTTTAATTCCACATAACTTTTCGAGATCTACGCAATGACACTTCAGTGTCATTGCGTAGAGCTCAAAAATTTATGTGGCATCAAAAAAAGAATTACTTGATTTGGATACCCGAGTCAAAAGTTATGATCTTCAGAAGTTTTACGATTAAACTGTTAATTTTTTGTGTCACATGTCAATACCAGACGAGTCGCGCCTAAATTAAGCGTAAGTGCCTCGTGGGTGATGTCTAAATTAAGCGTGAGTGATCACGCCCAATCCAGACGTGATATCCTGCAATAAATATGTAAATAATATGAAAACAGCTATATATTCGTAATTATTTATTTTTTTGCCTTGGTTCCCCGAATCGAACTATTTATAAAGGGGAGAGATCTTTTGACTCTAGAGTAAGACTTACAACTCTTACTCCTCATCTCAACCGTTGATTTCTGTCCATCTAACGGTTATCTATAACAATTAATTAATTATTTATTTCAAATATATAGTAACCGTTAGATGGACGAAAATCAACAGTTGAAATAGAAAGTAAGAGTTGTAAGTCTTACTCTAGAGTCAAAAGATCTCTCCCCATTTATAAAACATTAGATTCATATTCAATCCCTCGTCACTGAGTAATTGTTATAGATAACCGTTAGATGGACAGAAATCAACGGTTGAGATGAGGAGTAAGGGTTGTAAGTCTTACTCTAGAGTCAAAAGATCTCTCCCCATTTATAAAACATTAGATTCATATTCAGTCCCTCGTCACTGAGTTTTAAATATATAGTAACCGTTAGATGGACGAAAATCAACTGTTGAAATAGAAAGTAAGAGTTGTAAGTCTTACTTTAGAGTCGAAAGATGTCTCCCCATTTATAAAACATTAGATTCATATTCAGTCCCTCGTCACTAAGTTTTAATTACATCTCACAAGCCCTAATTACCCTATCCTCTTTTCGTTCCAAATTCGTTCATAACTGTCGCTCGTGAGGCATCTCACTACCACTGATGCAATACCATAACGTAAGAACTCAGGTTTTCTCTTTCTTTTTCAGCTTTATTAACTATTGTTTCATTCTAATGCAGCTCTCTATTTGGGTTAGTTCGGATTCATCGCTAGACTTTGACGATTTGTTTAAGGATGCTTACATTTTCCCTAATTTTTAGTCGTTCATGCTTGGTCTTTCTATTTACCTTGATTCTTTTGAGAACCGGTTCTAGTTCAAATAGGTTCAATCTGAACTGATTTAAAATCGAAACGAATCATTTTCGAAACGAATCATTTTCAAACCGAATCGGGTAAAAAAAATTGGTTCTTTGAATCGAATTGGTTTAAACCAGTTCAGTTTAGTTCTTCAAAAAAATTCTGTTTAATTCGACCACCCCCTCCCCCGATTCCACCAATTCTCTTTTTTCCAAAACTTTGCTAAAGTCTCAGTGCGTGCAAGTTTCTTCTTTTCCAATTCCAACTTCTTTATGGCCTCCTCATATTCTCTATCAAGTGCATTTTTGTAGGACACTGATTTGTCTCTGACTCTGTAGGGTTAAAATCTTTTGTCTTTGCGTTGGGATGGCCAATGCAGTAGCATTTTCAGCAGGAGAGAACACAATTATGGCCAGTGGCGTATCCACCTTAACTTAGGTAGGGCTTAGGCCCTAGTTACATTTCAATAAATTTTATTTATTATATATAATTATATATATAAGTAATTATAATCGGGCCCCAGTTAAAGTTGTAAGTTGACCCTAGCTAAAATTGTAATAATGGTAACAGATGAAGATTTGGAGCTGCTTTGCGTGTATGACCATATAACAGATTGTCTTCTTCTTAATTTCTTCCTCTTCTTCTTTCATCTTTTTTCAATTAGGATTTTCTTCTAACTTTTTTTTTCTTATTCGCACTCACCACCAGAAACCCGGAGCGCAACCATTTTGCGACAAGGTACGTTATTTCGTTTTCTTTCTCAAGATTTTACGGATACATGTTCTTGGAATATGAATTGGTAATTATATTGTCCATTGGGAAAAAAATTGATTTATATTTTTGAATCTTATAAAAGAGAAATTCTTTGTCTTTACTTACCATAATTGTTTATTGGGTGTTTTTAACATGAGTGAAATTCATGCCTCTTTTTTTTTATTTACAATTTTTTTCTTATGGTTGTATTTATTGATTTTATTTCTTTTGAAAAATGGAGTATTGTTTTACGTTTACCTTTTTTTAATATATATATATATATACACACACGGGTACACTACAAAAAACAAGGCCTATAGGGACATCAGTTTAACCACGTTTATCAAAATGTTGATAAAAATCCAAAACTACCCCTGATTAGCCACATTATTTTCAAAATGAAGTAAAACTCTTTTTAAGTTTTTTATTATTTTTTCTTCTTCTAAAAAACGTTTTTTGTTTCTGTTCACTACTCTATTTGACGTTTCTGTTAGAGATAAACCCTAAAGTTTATCTTGTTCTTTCCTGCTTAAAATCGAATAGGGTTCAGCTTGGAACTCAGTTCCTTTGTTAATCCCGAGCTTCAAATCGTGGTATTTGATAC